AAACCATGCATTCAAGGAAAATTAGAAATTTACTAAAATTTAATGGTTTTCTTCATGTGACTTATTTTAAACTAATTCTTTTAGATATTGTTTCTAGATCATAAATTCACCCACTTGAAGTTGTTAAGTGATTTTTAATATGCTCACATAGGTGGGCAAGCACTTTAATTTTAGAACATTCCTTTACTCAATTATGACAAAATTGGCACATTTAAAAAAATCATTGAACTGGAATTATATGTAAGGAAACATCTGAAAGCTGTTCAGTTTGAAAATTGATGAATTAGACATACAGAAGATAAGATGTGCTATACTTTTTTTTTAAAAGATTTATTTTTATTATTTTTTATTGGAAAGGCGGATATACAGAGAGGAGAGACAGAGAGGAAGATCTTCCGTCTGATGATTCACTCCCCAAGTGAGTGCAACGGCCGATACTATGCCTATCTGAAGCCAGGAGCCTCTTCCAGGTCTCCCAAATGGGTGCAAGGTCCTAAAGCTTTGGGCCGTCCTCGACTGCTTTCCCAGGCCACAGGCAGGGAGCTGGAAGGGAAACAGGGCTGCCGGGATAGAACCGGCGCCCATATGGGATCCTGGGCGTGCAAGGCGAGGACTTAACCACTTGCGCCACCGCGCTGGGCCCAATGTGCTATACTTTTGCAGAAGAATTTTTTCAAGCTTTAAAATATAATGAAAATTGTACAATTGTTTACAATGCATGACTGTTGGAATGACAAACATTTGAGTTTATTTGACATAGAGTTTATATGCCTTTCAAAGTTTCCCCTCAAAATTTTATGATTTTTTTAAAAAGTGAGAGGTATGCAATATTATAATAAGAAATTTAAATAAGAAATTGATAAAGTACTGAAGATTTTTTATGGTAAAAGACTTTCCAATCTCAAACTACGATGTCAATTTAATGAGACGTACCTGGCTGGTTGGCAATATTGCTCGTCATATGGTGCCCTATCTTCAGACATTCTATAGATTTACCATTGGTGGTTATTGATGATTGATGAGTAGCCTGCAGATTGTTCTCTGTGGATTTGGGGAGCCTCACTTTGGCCCGTCCGTAGGTAACGCTAATGTATGCAAGTCCCTAAACTGGTCTGTGCACTCACGAAATGGTTGTTTCTGCTTGAGGCTGAATGCTTTCTTTTGAACTCGACAATAATATTGAACACTTATTCCCACAGTAAGCCTGGTCTTTTTCATTCCATTCAATGGCACACACAAAATGTACAGATCGCAGTACAGAATTTACAGGTACTTCCTAAAAGAGTTATTAAAAACGGAGATGAATTCTAATTAATAGAATTAAAACCCCAGCCGTCAGTCGAATCAGCCATATTTCCCAGCACTTAGAAGCCATGTTCCTCTAGTGAGCAACCCTCACACACAACATTTCAACCACAGCAGGAAATTTTGTTGGGCGGCAGAGCTCCGGACAGCACGAAGTGGGCAAGCCTCCCACTTGCTTTGATCCCAATTTTACAGGACAGCATTCCCAGGCACTTTGAGTGTCAAACAGCTTCAGACATTAATCTCTGCTTTTTTTTTAAACATTCTGTTCTTCCCCTCCTACCATGAATACAACTTGCAGGTTCTCACCTCACTTCTCCTACCAGGTTCTTCCTAATCCACTGCCATGCAGTTCATTTAGAATAACTTTATTAAATTGTTCGTCTTGCCCTGGCCAGTCGTAACTCGCTGAGAAACAGTGTTTGTGTTTCCAAGCGGCTGGTCGCAGTCCCTCGTACATAACACACAATTTTGTTGACACAATTTGATTATTGTGACCAAATGAGCTTCCATCATTCAAAAAACGTGGAATTCCCCTTCAAAGAAGACTTTGCAATACTGCAGATACATAAGGATCATGCAATTTTGGGGTCATGTACATGTCAGCAGACCTAACGTGCCAGTCTGCAGCTGCTATGCTCTAGGGTCACTCACGGGTCCCTGAGACTCAGTCGGTAGCTGCGCGGCTTGGAGATTACGGGAGAGCTCAAGTACCGCGGGACCTGGCGCCCAATCAGCAGCGGGGGGGGGGGGGGGGGGGGGGAGCCTGCCCTTCCGGTGTCCACCGGAAGCACATGGCTGACCAGACAGGCACAGGCCGTCGAGGCCTTGCTGCGGAACCACCGGTGTGGATCTTGGGGTGCGGCCTCTGCCTGGCAGGTCTGAGGGGAGGCAGAGGGCGGAGCCCCTGGCCGCGTGGTAGGTGCGGGACTAGCTGGGAGAGTCTGGACAGTGCAGCTTGAGGCTACGTCTGTGAGGAGAGCCGGCTGTTTGCCGGGAAGGGGCTGTTTTTCGTCTGTTTTTTGGGAGGCTCATCCCGGCTTCGGCCCCGGCTCCGGCCCCGGCTCCAGCCCCGGCTCCGGCCCCGGCTCCCCCATTCCTTCCTGGTCCGGACTCTCAGTGGTGGGGGTGGGTGAGAACAGAAGGCCCTCGCTGCCTTTTGGGGTTCATAGACGGGAGGTGGTCTCCCGAGGGTCACGTGACTGACTGCCCCACAACCACAGGCTGAAACCCGCGGAAACTGTTACAGTTTCGTTTTATTTTGTTGGGTAGTCATCCCTGATTTTCCTTTCCCTCTGGACTTGGTAAAGAATCCTACCCGCAAACCTCTTCCACCGTGTTAGACACCGTGTGACAAGTACTCTACCCTAGTGCTTGTGACAAGTACTCAGCCCTGGCCTCTTGGAGCACTCTCGGCTGGGGAGAATAAGCAAGCCGCCGCCATGTGTCAGCTATTGTGCTCGACGCAGGGTTACCTGGATGACTTTCAAAAGGGTAATTATAGAGTGGATATTGCTTCACCTCTCCCCCGTCACCACCCCTCTGCACTGCTCGGCAACTTGCTGTGTTCAACAGAAATCTTGATCTGTTCTGTAGCTACAAGAGATAGGAATAGCGTATACCGCACGGGTTGTGAGGATTGCATTAGTTAATCTATAAAGGACGCAGATTATGTTTTACACATGGTAAGCACATGCAAATATTTGCTGTTGTTATTCAGTTTAGTCCTGGAATTAATTCATCTTGGGTGAACAGCCATTCCCATTCTAAATATAACATCTTTGCCTATTTCAAGGAAAAATTACTTAATACTGGCAGAATGCCAAATCACTACAGGGCCACATTAAAAACATTTTTTTTCCTGATACCTTACCCTCTCAGGATATTGCTTGATATCTAGCTCGTTCCCTTTAGTTTTAATGCACTTGAAAGAGAGTCATTTTATTTACACTGTCAGTATTTTGTGATTAAAGATGGCAACAATAAACATTTTAATTTTGAAGGACATTCTTTGAACAGTAATAAAGGAACAATTTTACAAGTGTTCTATATAGCTTATGAATCAAGATCATTTTTGTTTGTGTGTGTGTGTGTTTTTTTTTTTTTTCATTTTTAGGTCTACTCTCCAGAATTATGAGTAACATTTAGTTGGTATGAAAATCAACTTGATCTTTCCGCCCTACAAAAGAAAATTGAAAATAAAGATTCTCTACTCAATACTTTGTGCATGGTACAAAGTTTATGGATATAGTGACTATATTTTGCTAACAGGTCAAGCTGTAATTTGCTTTTTGGGGGGAAACTTTCCCTGTTACAGCCCCTTCTCAAAGGCTCACTATATTCTGAACCCTTTCAGATAATTGAGTGAACCAATGCATGTAAATATTGCATGTAGCATTTTTGTGTGATGTTTGGAATGTTAAAGTGGAGTTCTCTTGAATAAAGTAATTTTCTTACTTCAGTTTTTATCAAGCCTAAAACATTAATAGCTTAGTTGTTTTTAAACTTCTCCAAAGAAAAATACGATCTCTTTATGCAGATTATTGTTGCTGTTAATAAATTTTTGTAGAGTTTTAAAGAAGTTAGGAAGATACGAATTTTGCAGTTTATTAGGAGTAAAATCTTAGTTTTGCAAGTTGTTAGAAATAAAATAGGTAACTTAGATAAATAGAATTGTATTTTTCACATTTTCAAACTAATGTAAGCCTTTTCAGTGCTTAGAACTGCAGAAGATATTTTCAAAATTTTTATAATAGTAATTAATTGTGCTGAAATTCCTTCTACTCCCCATCTTCCCTGTATGCATTCTTCACAGAATACAGAATAGAGAAAGTAAACCCAGATAATGCATTTATTACCATATCAAAAACAGTTTTTTTAAATAGAAATTTCATTAAAATTCTGTCTTATGCCATTTTAGTTGGGGGAGGTACTTTAGAGATGCAGTAGGCTGGCAGTTTTAGGCAAAATCCTTTTTACAAAATCTCTTGTATCTATTTGTTGCTATACATTCAGCTCTTCCCGACTAAGAAGTGTATTTTCTGCTCTATAAGTACTAAATGCAAATAGAGCTTAGTACTGTTAATTCTGGTTGCTTTCTGATAATGTTTATTTGTTTACAACTGAGTGTGTAAAGGAAACGAGTGGTTATGTTCCATGTAGCTCGTTCTGGGCTCCTTTCTGTATGGCTTTCAAATTTGCAGTCCCATTATTATAGCATGCCTATAAATAGTTGTAATCAGTATCACATCTAAACACTTGTCCAGCTTGTTCTATTCTTTTAAATAAGGCGACACAAAATCAAACCTGTATGTCTCACATCACTTTTGTACAGGTACTGTTTGCAAGTGAAAACACAAGGAATGTGATTGACTTGTATAAGTACACATAATTCTCTTAAGGCTGAAGTGAAACCAGATTTATACCAATAGCAGGGTCTGAAACAGCTAAGATAGATATTTACAATAAGCCTGGTAAGGGGATGGCTAAGTCTTTATAAAACTGGATTCTGTAGTATATGTTGGCAAATTGACATGTATTCATCAGGCATTAATGAATGCATGATGTAAACAATATATATTTGTTTAGCATCATAAACAATCAATTCAGCCAGTGATGCGATTCCTTTTTTTCCCCAGTTTTGCAAATCTGATATTTCCTTTGCTCTGTGGTTTACGGTTCCTCTGCAGAACAAGATGGGAGACCCTGAAGCAGGCAAGAAGATTTTCATTCAGAAATGTGCTCAGTGCCACACAGTGGAAAAAGGTGGAAAACATAAGACTGGGCCAAATCTCTGGGGGCTCTTCGGCCGAAAAACAGGGCAAGCACAAGGATATTCGTATACCGATGCAAACAAAAATAAAGGTAAAAAAAGCAACAATAGTGGGGGAGAACAGATTTCGTATCAAAGATGAAACAACATGAAGCAGCGTTAGAATTTCATAATTTACAGACTTGAAAATGGACCCCCATATTTACATTACTGAAGTCATGATTTGTTATCTCTAACACCTGCTTTCAAATAACTAATCAACTTGGGCCCGGCGCGGTGGCGCAGTGGTTAAGGTCCTCGCCTTGCATGCCTGGGATCCCATATGGGTGCCGGTTCTATCCCAGCAGCCCCGCTTCCCTTCCAGCTCCCTGCCTGTGGCCCGGGAAAGCAGTCGAGGATGGCCCAAAGCTTTGGGACCCTGCACCCGTGTGGGAGACCCGGAAGAGGCTCCTGGCTTTGGATAGGCATAGCATCGGCCGTTGCACTCACTTGGGGAGTGAATCATCAGATGGAAGATCTTCCTCTCTGTCTCTCCTCTCTGTATATCCGCCTTTCCAATAAAAACATAATAAAAATAAATTAAAAGAAAACTAATCAACTTATAAAAAAAGATTTATTTTATTTTTATTAGAAAGTCAGATATACAGAGAGGAGGAGAGACAGAGAGGAAGATCCTCCATCCCTTAATTCACTCCTCAAGCGGCCTCAACGGCCAGAGCTGCACTGATCCTAAGTCAGGAGCCCGGAGCCTCCTCCCGGTCTCCCATGCAGGTGCTGCTTCCCAAGGCTTTGGGCTGTCCTCAACTGCTTTCCCAGGTAACAAGCAAAGAGCTGGATGGGAAGTGGGGGTGGCTGGAATACAGACTGGTGCCCATATGAGATCCCGATGTATGCAAGGCAAGGACTTTAGCCACTAGGCTACCATACTGAGTCCTGATCAACGTTTTGATCAAAATAATTCCAAGTCACATGTGGTATAGGTTTTTGCCTATATGGGGTATTTTATTTTATTTTTATTCAATTATTTTGAAAAGCGTTATGCAATTAAAAAGTCAAATATTTTAATATCTTGGTGATAGTGGTTCTCTTTCTGGGTTGAGAGATACAGTCTAAGTGAAAAAGCATTTTAATGTTGATATTAAAAATGGTTATGAAAGACTATTATATCGTTGAGAAGTAAATACTCCCGGATTTGTGTGTTTGTGTTATATGTGTGTATTAACTGGATTGCCTTATCAGATTTTCTTAAAATCGGGTACAAGCCTTTCTTTCAGTGTTTTTGGGTACCTGGCATATCTTGTGGGCTACAATTTCAGATCACTGTTTTTTGAAATTGCATTTTATTTCTACTGAAGTGTGAAACCCTTGTAATATAGAATGAACCATTTTGTAATATGATTCAGTAGCATTTAGTGCATTCACAGTATTTTATACTTACTCCCTTTTCTTAGTTTCAGAACCTTTTTTTTTTTTATCACCCCAGAGTAACTATATTCATTAAGTGAGTGATCCCTCCCGTTTCCTCCGCCTTGCATTCTGTGGCTGTTGCTGATCTGCTTCTCCTCACTTTGGATTTGTCTATAGGATCTTTTAAGTTAACAGAGTTGGTTATATCTATATCTATATCCACATGCATATATACATACGTGTGTGTGTGAAACCTTTTGTATCTGGAGTCTTTCACTTAGATGCTGAATTTCTGTTTAAGGCATGCAGCTGGATATTTGTTGTTTCTGCCTTTGTCATTACGTCCGCCTGGGTGTCTGACTTCACATGGCCTTTTTTTTTATTGGAAAGGCAGATATGCAAAAATTTTATTGGAAAGGCAGATATGCAAATATACAGTGAGGAAGATATTCTGTCTGCTGGTTCACTCCCCAGGTGACCCCAACAGCTGGAGCTTAGCTGATCCGAAGCCAGGAGCCAGGGCCTCCTATCTGTCTCCCAGATGGGCACAGGATCCCAAGGCTTAGGGCCATTCTCTGTGGTTTTCCTAGGCCACAGCAGGGAGCTGGATGGGAAGTGGAGCAGCCAGGATTAGAACTGAACGCCCAAATGGGATCCTGGCACATGCAAGCTGAGGACTTTAACCATGAGGCCACTGTTCCAGGCCCTCACATGACCTTTTCTAAGGACACTAGACACATTGGGTTAGGTGCTCATCTTACTCCAGTGTGACCTCATTTCAGCTTAACTAATCACATCTGTAATGGCCTATTTTCCTATTTTGAAACATTTCCATATTATGAGATAACAGACCAGGGGTTCATCATATCTTTATTTGAGAGACACCCATGATAAAAGGCCATCTGTACATATAAAACAAATCAATAGATAGTTGACAAAATGCACTAAGATTGATAGGGACAATTGCTTGGCATAGGGCACCCATATCCCACATACAGGTGTCTGAGTCCGGGTCTTGGCTACAGTCTATAGATTCCAGCCTCCAGTTAACTTGGATATTCTAGGAAGCATGGTGATGGCAAAGTGATTGGGCTCCTGGCTTGGCCCAGACCCACATGTTGTGGCCATTTGGTGAATGACCTAGAAGGTGAGAGATCTCTGACTGTCTTCCTCTGCTTTTTGAAAACAAAATAAATAAAAAATTTAAAGTGTAAATAAAATAAATCATAATGCTTGGGACAGAAATATTTTAGCATCTTTTAAAATATCAGCATATTAACACAATATCATTGTATTAAGGATGTACAAGAATGCTGATGAATAGGTATTATGTAGTAATTTGTCTATCTTTTTTAGAAATCTCTGAAATTTTCTAATTTCCCAAGTTACTGGAGTACCTTTGTTATCATAGTGGATCCAAAGGTTGAGGGCCTGAGATTGTAATAACAAAATAACTCATGATGAACTCATGGATAATTTCAGGATTGGGACTGATTATATTTGACTAGGTCATCCGTGTGATTAGAGAATTAGAGGACTCTGAGGCAGGTGATATTAGTCTAACTTCCAGGAACAGAATTGGGTTTAGAAATGAAAATCAGCCAATAATTTAGTCAGTCTTATTTATCTGATAAAATCCCAGTTAAAAGCTTTGGAGTCAGCATTATGGCACAGTGGTATAAACTGCTGATTGGAGTGTGTTTATCCCAAATTGGAGTGCCTGGAGTTGAATCCTGCCTTTTCTTCCAGTCCAGCATTTTACTAGCATTTTTGCTGGGAGGCAGCAGATCATGTTCAAGTGCTTGGGTCCCTGTCTCCTGTGTGGGAGATCTTACTGGAGTGTTGGGCTCTTGGCTTTGTCTGGCCAGGCCCCAGCTGTTGTGCTCATTTTGGGAGTGAGCCAGTGGATAGGAGGTCTTTCCCTGTCACTCTGCCTTTCATGGAAGTAAACTTAAAGACAACACAAAACCAAATGGTGGACACTGCTATGTTTGAAACCCTGTCAGTCCTCTGTGTGTGGGTCTCTTGAATCTTGCTGGTCCAACTTTATATTCTTTATAACCAAACTGTGTATGTTACTAGAATGCTTTTCTGAGTTCTGTGAGTTGTTCTAGCAAGTTACTAAACTTGAAGGGGTTGTGGATGCTGCAGCCAGTTGGTCAGAATTTTGAGTGGCTTGAACTCAGACCTGGAATCTGAAGTGACAGAAGACTTGCAGGGAATTGCAGAGTCAGTTCCTGCTCTGAGCACTGCCTGTGATGCAGTGAGTCGTTGTGGTAGGATTTTCCAGTTCACAGACTATTAAATAAATCAAACTTTGCAAGTCATTATCAAGAGGTCAGTATTGTAGTGTTTCAGGATAAGTATCTCCTTGCAGCATGAGCATCATAAGTCCTACCTGCTCCACTTCTGATGTATCTTTCTGCTAATACAGCTTGGGAAAGCAATGGAGGATGGCTCAAGTGCTTGGGCCCCTACCTGGACGAAGCTTCAGGTTCCTGGCTGCAGCTGTTGTGGCCATAAGGGAAGTGAGTCCATAGATAGAAGATTCTGTCTCTCCTTCTGTCTCCTTAATCCTTTCACTGAACTAAATAAAAAATAAATCTAAAATAAATCTTTTGTTTTAAAGATTTATTTATTTTATTGGAAAGTCAGATATACAGAGAGGAGGAGAGACAGAGAGGAAGATTTTCCGTATGATGATTCACTCCCCAAGTGAGCTCAGCAGCTGGTGCTGTACTGATTCGAAGCCAGGAGCCAGGAACTTCTTTCCGGGTCTCCCACGTGAGTGCAGGGTCCCAGTGCTCTGGGCTGTCCTCGACTGCTTTCCCAGGCCACAAGCAGGGAGCTGGATGGGAAGTGGAACTGCTGGGATTAGAACCGGTGCCCATATGGGATCCCGGGCGCGTTCAAGGTGAGGACTTCAGCCACTATGCCACGGCGCCGGGCTCAAATAAATCTTAAAAACAAACAAACAAACAAAAAACCTCCCCAAAAAACCGCCGAAACCAAAAACTATTACGTAGGGCTGGCATGGTTGCTCAGTAGGCAAATCCTCCTTGCAATGCCAGTATCCCAGTGCAGAAAGGACTGGTCCTGGAGCTCGAACCAGGCAGTTCATTATGAGACACAGGTGTCTTAACTGACATCTGAATCAGGAAGTCAGATATCCATCCCAAATCAGTGTTTAACACATTTGTTTGCATTTGTGTTGTTTATTTTAAAAGAAAGATATATTTATTTGAAAGGCACACTTAAAGAGAGAGAGACAGAGAGAGTAAATCATTTGCTGTTCATGCCCAGATGGCCAAAACAGCCAGTGCCAGGCTTGGCCCGAATTAGAGGCGTGAGCCTCATCCTGATTTCTCACATGAGGGACAGGGACCCAAACACTTGTGGCACCTTCTGTTTCTTTCCCTTGGCTGTTAGCAGAAAACTGGTTTGGGAGGTGAGCAGCTGGAACACAATCTAGTGGTGTCATAGGTAGTGGCTTTACGTGCTAGGTCACAATGTTAGCGCCCTTGTTTTAAATAGTAATTAGCTTAATTAGCTTATAACAAATGTATCTTTATATAGGTTATTACTGAAATTTGTAAGCTTTTAAAAAGATTTTGTTTAGCATAATTTAAGAATCAGCAATAAAATTTCTATAAGTCACTTTATTTAAATAATTCTTGTGACTGACTTAGGGATAGAAATAAGAATAAGTACCTTACTATGTTAATTGAAGTAGGACTTGACAATAAGCCTTTTAAAAATAAAATGAGCTTAAAAACACTTTACTAAAGCTTGGTCAAAGATAGATTTAAATGACTAAGAAAATCGTGAATTTAATAGCAATGTTAGTTCACATTGTGGTCAACTATATTTTCTTTTCTCTGTATAATTTTTCTGTTGTAAGTAATTACATTCATATGTTCAGAGGGACATGGAAATTCTCATAAAGATTCTTCACTACATTTGACTTATAGCAAGTACATGTGTTTTTCTTTTAAGATTTGTTTTGTTTTACTTTATTTTTTATTGGAAAGGCAGATAGGTCTTCCGTCTGCTAGTTCACTCCCCAGATGGCCACCGTGGCCAGAGCTGAGCTGATCTGCAACCAGGAGCCGGGAGCTTCTTCTGGGTCTCCTGTGCAAGTGCAGGATATCAAGGGTTTGAGCCATCTTCTACTGCATTCCCAGGCCACAAGTAAGAAGTTCGACCAGAAGTAGAGCAGCCAGGGTACGAACCAGTACCTAGATGGTTTCCTGGCGTATGCAAGGCAAGGGTTTAGCCAATAGACTGTACATGTGATCTTTAAAATTGTGATCAAATATGCACAACATAAAATCAGAAGTTTAGTCATTTTTAAGCATACAGTTGTGTGGCGTAAAGTCCATGAAATTCATATTGTTTTCCAACTTTTCATCTATAGAAGTTTTTTTCTATCAAACCGAAACTCTGTACCCATTAAATTGACAACTGCCAACTATTCTACTTTTATCTTCTTTTACGTTTGAGTACTTTCTTTATCTTGTACAAGTGGAATATGACAGTATTTATTGACTTGTTGCTAAATTACTTCAGTTAGTATAATGTCTTTAAGGTTCATTTGTCACTGGAGACCCAAATTACTTCTATCTCTTGGCTATTTTGAATCATGTTGCTAGGAACTTGAGTATAAAAATATCAGTTCAGTTCCTATTTCATCTTCTTTGAAAACATACCCAGAATTGAAATTGCTGAATCCTATGGTAATTGTATGAGGACATTTTTGAGGATCAGCTATACCATTTTTCCAAATAATATCCATAAACTCACTTATATATTTTAAGTAACATGTTTATTCTCCACTGTGAAGGATTAGAAAACCAAAGTATTTATGTCTCCCATTTCTTTACAATGTCTCCTAGCACTTTTTATTATAGTTATAGCCCATGTAATCATAATTACCATAGCTGTTTTAAAATTTATTATACATTTGAATGGTATTGATGAGTGTTCCCAAATTTAACTGTGTTTATCTTTTGGTTTATAGATGGTTATTTGATACTAAATTACACCAAGAAAAGGTGTTTGGAATTATATTATCTCAGTTCTTGGCTTTTTAAAAATATCTGGGTGTTTGTATTATGCTTGAATAGCAATTTGATTAGGCATAAAATTTTTGGGAGACATTTTAATTTCTTAGGGTAGTATATGCTTCAGGTTGGTTTATTGTTTGGAGAAATATGCAACCAGCCTGATAGCTTTGCTATGTGAGTAATGTGGTTTTACTTGTTCTTTCCCTTAATCTCAGTAAAATTCTTATTAAAACACAATAACTTTGACTATGTCTAGGCTTTGACTGAACTTTTTCAGTATATTCAGGAATATGTTGTGCTTTTCCTTTTGGTAGACTAAGGGTGGTAATTCTTGAAAGTTTTGCTGAATTTTGTGCTGTAATTATTTTATTCTATTTGTTTTAAAAATTTTTATGTGGGTCAACAGTTGTGTAGAAGTGGTTTTCCTTTGTCTAAATATCTTATGTATTGGTCTTTTTTGTATTTAAATTTTTTATTAGTTTTTGTTTATTTGAGAGGCAGAGTTACTAAAAGAGGGATAGGCAAAGAGATCTTCCATTGGCTGACTCTCTCCACAGTGGTGGCAATGGCCTGACTTAGGAGCTGGGAGCTTACATTCCAGGTGTTCTATGTGAACGCAGGGGCCTAAGCACTTAGGCTGTCCTCTACTACTCTTACAGGCACACTGTAGGAAACTAGGTAGGAAGTGGAGCAACTGAGAATCTCAGAGTCCATGTACGATACCAGTACTGTAAGTGGTATCTTAACCCGCTGTACCATAGTGGTGGTTCCCTTTTGATGTTACAGCTAGAATGATTATTATTTAAAAAAATTTTTATTTTTCATGATACAACTTCATAGACACAGAGTATTTCCCTTGGCTAGAGTTATTAAAAAAATCCTTACTCTGGCAATCTTGTTTTTTTTTTTATTTTTTTTTAAAGATTTATTTTTATTATTTTTTTTATTGGAAAGGCAGATATACAGAGAGGAGAGACAGAGAGGAAGATCTTCCGTCCGATGATTCACTCCCCAAGTGAGCGCAACGGGCCGATACTATGCCGATCCGAAGCCAGGAGCCTCTTCCAGGTCTCCCACACGGGTGCAGGTTCCCAAAGCTTTGGGCTGTCCTCGACTGCCTTCCCAGGCCACGGGCAGGGAGCTGGAAGGGAAGCAGGGCTGCCGGGATTAGAACCTGCGCCCATATGGGATCCTGGGCGTGCAAGGCGAGGACCTTTAACCACTTGCGCCACCGCGCCGGGCCCGGCAATCTTGTTTTTATTAATATTTTTGATCCTGGTTGTGCCATCACGTGTATCCTTTTTGCTCTCATTTATGTGTTCCTGTTTTATTGTTTTCTTCTTAAGCCTTTATAATTATGTATTGAGTTCTTGATCATAAATATCATTTTTGAATCTTTGGAAGTATGTTCATAATTTTCATCTGCCTAGTGTATATTTTTTGATATATAGTTTTCATTTAACCTTTGATCTTCATATTCCTTTTTGCTGTGTCTTTGTGTGTGGTATGTATATGTGTGTTGGATATGTGTATTTTCAGTACTCTTGGGTTTATTTTTATTATTCATCTGTTGATGGGGAATATTATTCTGGGACTGATTATTTGCAGAAGGATAGTGAGAGTGAGAGTCTGACAGTTCTAATTAGTGATGAAGCCTCTTATTCACATTATGTTTGGGACATGTTTATAAGTCTCAAAGTATATGGGTGGATGTTTGGGGTGTCATTTGGCTTTTCAGGTGGCAAAGACTGGCAGTCCTAGGGATATTCAGCCTCTGCAATTTCTCTTCTGAAAAGTTAAAATTCTTTTAAAGATGGTGTATTAGTGTTTTCTTGTTTGGTCCCAGCTTTCCTGGATCTCCAGTGTTAAAATGAATTTAGGGAGACTCTGATTAGTGGATGATCTATCCTGTTCTTTTTGAGTACAACAAAAGCTTATGAATTTGCCCTGAAGCATGAGTTGTATCTTTTGGCAATTTTTCTCTTCTCTTGGGATCATTAGTGGTAAGTGTCCTTTCATCTTGATCCAGTTTTCATGTTCTTGTTGCTCTTCTAATTAGATCACACTTGAGATTATAGGTGCTTATTCAATAGTTTCATGAAAAATGTAGCTAGCATTTCTGTTTCTCTTTTTGGCTATTAGAAAGAGTAGAAGATGATGTTTCTCTGTCAACTTAAAAAGAAATTTATGGAATTACTAATTTTGATAGAAATTTGGGAAGAGGCAGTTTGGCATGTTTGGTAAAAAGAATGTGGAAATAAGAGTTAGTAGTCAGAAATTCTTGACTCTTAAGTAGATTTGCCATGTTAGGGCAATTACCTTATTTTCTCTGGACAATCACCCAGTTATATAATTGGGTTAAATAATCTTCAAAGTCTTTTCTAGTCGAAACCATCTATGATTCTAGGAAATTGAAGTGCTGATTATGTGCAACATGGCTGGTTTGGTAGTTGATTGTTATACCCTGGATAATCCTGAACAGTATCTAACTACTAGATTTGTACAGAGAAGTTAAGGAGTAGAGACTTGGAATGTTTTTGTAAGTTAGCATCTGTAAGTGTTCTCATCTCTGATGGCCTTCCTATAAAAGGCAAACATATCTTGTTCAAATAGGTGGCTCACGTCAGAAAGTAAACCCTACCAATATAAGTACACAAACTTAAAACTTATTTTCACCTTTATAGGTATTGTCTGGGGAGAAGACACTCTGATGGAATATTTGGAGAATCCAAAGAAATATATCCCTGGAACTAAAATGGTCTTTGCTGGTCTTAAAAAGAAGAGTGAGAGAGAACATCTTATTCAGTATTTGAAACAGGCCACATCATGAAATGTTATTGCAGTTTCACATATATTAGTCATAAGCCAGAATTATCCAATTTAAGATACTGAATCTTTTAAAAAGTCATATTTGATCTTCCTTGATCAGCCTGCTAGTAAATGTAAAGCTTAACAATAAAGTTTCATATAGTTGATGTGTGTAGTGCTACTCATATGCTCTCCAGTCTGATGTGTGTTTGCTCACTGAACATGAGGAGGGACAGGGAAGAGGACAGAGAAGGAAATGGAAATCTGTTGTGCATGCAATATTTTATAAACCTAGCAACTGCTGTTAATGATGGAGATTGCACAATTTAAGTGTAGATTGATAAGACATTTTTATTTGGCTATATCTAGTTATGTTTTTCAGTTTTTAATATAAGCAATATTTAAGGTAATTTTAAGGAAAAAAGGTGGAGAAAATGAAGTTAAGTAGTTGACTTTACCTTGATAATATTTTTGGGAAAAAGAGGGTAAAATGTTGACTCTGAGTAATATAAAACCATGGAGTGGAAGGAGAAAAACATGTTCTATGTTAATAAATAGTTGTTTCATATAAAATGTAAACATTTTCTGTTCACTCATTTAACAGCAGGACAGTTTTGCCCAGCATTACTGAATAATATAAAAGTGGACTAAAGGGAGGGGCATCACAGACCTTAAGAAGATACAAATGTAGAAGAGTCCCCACCTTACTGTAAGTGGGAGGGCTTCTGGGTAGGGCAGGTCTGAATCAGGAACCATGAGGAGAGGCACAGTAGCTCTGTGTAGTGTGGAGCAGATGGTAAATCAGGTATGCAGTCCTACAAGTACTCTGTCAATCAAATGATACTACTCAATGCAAGAAGGAGAAGCTTCTTTGCTGTCAAAAGGTGGGTAGTCAGCTAGTCAAGATCACTGTGATGAGACTAGGCCATTCATATTTAAATTTCATAATACCACTCCTGTGAAGGATTTTTTTCCTACTATCAATAAAGAAATGTAACAATATAAAAAGATACAGAGAGATCTAGAGCCAGAACCCACAACTTGAATATTTTACCCTGTTATGACTTTCTGTATCATTGTCAGGATGACTGGTGAACTAGTTAGCTTGGCAGATGACACTACAATGAAGATATCCTAACAGAATGTGAGGGGGAATATAATTAATGAATTATGGTTAATGAATTATGATGGTTTCTAGAAGATTCTGTTAAAGGTGGTTAATTCCCAGGCTTACTGATGTTTCTGCCAGGACTCTCTGGAAGTGTGCCTATGGCTGCCGAAGGAGGACTTCAGGCAAAGCTGAGCTTGTTACTCACCCTGAAGGAATTTTCTGATGAGGGTTAGAGATACCTCTATAGGCGCTAACAGTGTATTCAGAGCTGAGTTGGCTTACAAAAATGAGGAATTGGGTGTCATTTCAAATTCCAATTGCATGAGGCCAGGGATCTCTGTGAAAAAGACCTTGCACTCAGTTCACTCAACTGATAATTGCTGTGTGGATTTTTTTGTAACTGTTATAGATGGACTTTGTGGCATTAATAGATGCCACCTTGCAGGAAGAATTTGAAGTTTAAATATCTTTGACTTAAGAGAAGATAATATAAGGAGAGCTGAGAATGAGAAAAAGGGAACTGGGTGGCAGTCAAGAAATATTAAGTGAATTGCTGTTTTAAAAATTGTTCAGTTAGTGATGATGTAATGAATGTTGCTTTAAGTTTATGTTTACTTGAGCAAAATAAGTACTTGTTGGCTAGTAGCATGTGATGTATATTAAATAGTAAATATAAATTGGAGGAAATTTTGTATTTGAATATAATAATTCTATATTGTAGCTTTTTGTTATTGATTTTTTAAATATCATGTTAGAATCAATTTACATGAGGAAACTTCTGGAAAATGTGGAGATTTTATACTAAGTTCATTTTGCTAAACTGAAACTATAGTTCTAGAATTCTGTTTATATGATTCCCAATTAAGGCTGATCATAAAAGAGGGTTACCTTTTATTTGGAAGGCAGGGAGGGAGGTATCAGACAGAAACCTGTTCATTTTTTTGAGGGGCCAATTTAGCCTCGTCTGTTGCCTCACATTCATTTGGTGGGGCGGAACTCCTCTAAACTCCTGCTACATCTTTCAGTTTGTGACCTGGCACAGGGTTATATGGCAATTTGAGTGGTGTGAGGTCAGCTTTGTCAGGTCATTCATACCAATCAGGTTTGGAATGGTGAGACACAAATAACATGGGTATAATCTGCTCTCTCAGGTCTGTTTTTACTCTCCCATTTTTATGCATTGCTTTTCATCCAAACTGCTGGTGTTCATCAACTTTAGGCTGAATAAACAGCCAATAACAGTCTCTCTCTTTAGATCAGGTTTAAGCCTAGCTCCTCTAAGAACTCTTCTTGACAAAATATCTTTTGGCCTTATATTTGGTTCACTTAGTCTGGTTTTAACAGGATCCTACTGAGTTTAGTGAAAACTCCCACTGTGGTGCTCCTTCAGCAAGAACCCTGTGAAGTTGGTTTACCAAGAATCCCTCTCTCTCAACCTTGATGCATTTGCTTAGTACTTTCCTTCCCATTGACTTCCATCTTGCTCCTGGGCAAAATCTCCACCTGTTCTTACTGTATTGATGAATTCAGTCTCTCTTCCCCAATGCAGAATCTTTCTTAGCAGTACTCCCTTCTTCATTGGCTTCTTCCTGAGTTTCTCTAACAAGTGTTAGGTAATTCTTTAGCACCAACAACCTTCTACATCTTCTTCATCGGCTGGTCTTTGTGGTCCTAATGACTTTCCTTGCATTTTTAACCGTTCCCTCTGGACCTTTGTCTTTCCAAAATTTTTCCTAAATTGTATTAATTTCCACAATAAATCTCAGATTCAGTGGTCCTGCCTTCCTAATCAAACCCTAACTGATATAAGCACTGTATCTGAACAACACATGAGCACCTCTGAGGATATTATTGTACAAATACTTTTCATTTTAAATTGCATGTACCTTGGTAGAGCAGAGGGAAGAATGATTAATTTTTATTGCCATCTGAAGTAATTCAAGTTATTAAAGTCTCTTAGTGTCTTCTAAACGTAAATATTTACTAAGAAAAAGACTGATGCTAATCAGAGAATAGATGTCCATGATGATAAAATCTAAAAAAGTAAGCGTTCTTGTTTTATCTCAACATTAATATGAATCAGGAGAGTTTAGTGACCAGGAACTGTTATATTGATGTTGTATGAACAAAAGCATATTTGAAAAATATTGCAGAGTTGGGTAATTATATAACATTCATCACTTTTAGCATAGGCAATTCTATTATTTATCTTGATGGGGATCTGGAAGAATAAAATGTTTCATTCAAAATGTGAGGCCAGTTACCTTGGCAATTAATTGTGTGTTACAGAAGGAACAAAGAGAACTCTTTGGAAAATAGTGGAGCAGTGTTAGGTCTTGGGTTCTTAAAACTTTTTACACTTGCTGGTGAAGTAATTCATAGATGTAAACCCACAGTTGGTAATTTCCATGTAAACAATATACCACTTATTTTTCAAGAATAATTTTTTTAAACTGAATCTTTGTGTGCATTGACCACAACATAATTTATGTTTTCATTTGATTTGATTTGATTTTTAAATTTCGTTTTACATTTGAAAATGCAATTTTAAAAATGTATTTTTTTATTTACTGTTGTACCTCATCACATTATTTTAAGATATTAATTACAGATATAAATGTAGAATCAATTGCTTTGTCTGTATTTTCCCCTTGTTTACGAGTTAAAAAAAATCACACAATTTTTCCAACTTTAATTCTAAATTTCCGACAAAGTAAAGCCTCATTTAAATTCAGATGCCTATGTGAGTGGAGGTCAGAGTGGTGTCTTCCAAAGCGATGGGTTTTGCATGAGGATGTGAGAGCTGTGACAGTCATTAAAAGGGCAGAGAGAGGAGTGCAGGAAGGATAGTATTTCCTAATCTACAAAATGTAGATGGAGTTGGGTTGGGTCTCTTGTTTTCAAATTTGTTTTATTTGGAGAACCATTTTTTGAAATAAGCCCTGCAAAGAAACTCAGTCTTTAAAACTGAAGCCTTTTTGCTATGAAGGATGGGAACACACCTTTGTTTCTGCAGTCTCCCTCCCTTACTCCTAAGTGTTAAACTGCTTTAAATTTGTTTTATTACTAATTTTTCATTTTATTTTAAAGGTGAGATGTGAGTGAGGGGCTGAGAGGGAGAGGGAGAAAGAGAGGGGGAAGGAGAGGGAGAGGGAAAGAGAGAGAGGAAGAAAGATTGATTTTCCATTGGTTCACTCACCAAATATCTAGAATGCCAGGGCTGGGGCAGCATCAAGTCAGGAACACAGAAATCAATCTGGATCTCTCACATGGTTGGTAGAGTCCCAAGTGTTCTGTGAGGTTACCTAGTGCTTCTTAGGGTATACACTAGCAGAAGACTGGAATCAGAAACAGGATTCCAAACCAAACACTCTGATAGGAGATACAGATGTTCTATGTGCATCAGATGCCAATTCCATAAAATTAAGTTTCAGTCAAGATACACATGCTAGAAAGTTTTTGAAAAGTGACAGTTTCTATATTCTCATTTTTTTAAAGATTTATTTTTATTATTTTTTTGTTGGAAAGGCGGATATACAGAGAGGAGAGACAGAGAGGGAGAACAGGGTCTGTGACTTTCCCGAAATCAAACATCTAGTTAGAATTAGACTTTAAAACTAAGACTGGGGCCCAGTGTGGTAGCCCAGTGGTTAAAGTAAAGTAAGGGTGATGATTTTAAATCAATGAATGCTTGTGTTTGCCATAATAGAAATACAGTCAAAGATTAGTTTATTCAACAACTATTCATGGTACCTTGTGGTATGTGGTCTCAAAAGATGGTCCTCAGTAAATCGTGCTGCCAGTGATTCATCTCTCTGTGTAGTCCTCTTCCACACTGAATCTGCCTGCCCTTGATTAACTAACAGAATAGGGTAGAAGTGATGCTGTGAATGGATACTGTGGCATAGAAG